TACTTAAAACAGCTTTGGAAATGAGGATTACGGGTACCTCACTGCACCTGTGTCATATTTGGTTCATCAACTTTTGGTAGTACTATAGAAGAAATTCCGGAAGGGGTATAATCATCATTCATGATAAAATACTATCATATATTTTTTGAACAACTTCAATCTAGACCAGAGATCTCAAACTCGCGGCCCCAGAGAACTTCCAGTGCGGCCCTCGAACGTTTAACAATAATTGTAATAGTATTTTGGAAGTTTTTTTTTTTATCTAAATGTAATAGATTTTTCAAACCTTCTAAAGTGAAATTGATTATTCACACAGAAAACAATTTACTGAAAGTAGTTTTGGAATATTGATTTTTTTTGTCCACATTTTGACCCAACTAAGAATACACATCAAGCTAGCAAAAGAATACTTGAATAAAACACTTGAGTAATTAAATTAAACGCAAAGTACATGAAGAAGGTGGCATTTTCGAAGAAAATGGGAGTTGTAACATTTCTGCTCTTCACAAAATTCTGAAGCACATTGTTTAATTTGTCATATTTCCATCAATACAATCAAAAAACACAATAAGCTCAGCAGTCAATATGACAAATTCGAAGACCAACTTCGAACAGAAAATTTCCATGTGTTTGTATATTAATATAATTATGCAACGACTTAGTTACTAAAAATCAATATCAATAATAATTCAAGCAATCCTATGCCACGCAATGTAGTGCGAAATGTCTTGTCGAAAAAATCTGTCATTTGTTTTTTTACTGATCTATACATGAAATGATAAAAGTAACTTTTTTGCATTACTGGAATTAATTAAACATTCGTAAAGATCCAGATAAACCCATGATCATGTGGCCTCGTTAGTTAGAGTTGGTACTATAAAATCATTTCAGACTGGCCTTAGTATGCTGGTGACACAAAAAAGATGCCAAACGCCAGGACAAATGTAATTATTAAAACATTGAGTTTATACTGTAGTATTTTTGTTAATTTTAGGTTCATATATTTAGATTAAGTTATTTTTAGTGTATGTATTATTCTTTCCTTATTCAAAGCTTGTTCAAAAATGATTTTGATGGTTGTACATAGAATTTTACGATTTTTTATAATAAATACAGTAACTTGCAAATGTTGCAATAATAGTGGAATGCAAATATTAATATGTAATTGCATTTGAAATTGAAGAAAATAATAAAACTTAATCCAACTGTTTAGTTGCATCACAATATATGTCACAAACTAAAACTATCTTAAAAATATCTTTTAAGTATACATTATCAAAAACTGTTTGCGGCTCTTTTTACAATTTTCAAAATGCAATGCGGCTCTCGAAAACCCATGAGTTTGACACCACTGATCTATTCTAGACGATTCAAGCATTGCTTTGGGAAATTATATCACTTCAATTAAATTGAAATAATCTCGCTATATTAAATACAAAATCTTTGCTATCATAAAGGTAAACCAATTCAGCCACTCGAAATATACTGGCCTTATCAAAGCAATGGAGGCAAAATTGAGAGTTCATGAGCTATGAACATTTGTTCTTTTCTTTGTCTTGAACTTTCCATACTCCACAGCCCCTATTAATTTTTTTTAATTTTAATTACCATGTGATGGTCATACATATCTTTAACTTGTATTTTCTGTCATGATGTATTATCTCAATGTGCCAAACTATTAATTAGTGTGCATATTTTGCTTCCAGATGACATAAATGTATTGTCATGTTTATTACCTCAGCTTGGAGTATTGACAAGAAAAAGGTGCCAGTAAATTAGGTAAAAAAATTTTCAACTCATTGTTATAATCAGAATTCACAATCAATAGGAATTATAAACAGCCAACAATCAGTGAGAATTATATGCGAAATCCCTCAGAATAAATTTGTCTAAAATCGGAGGAAGGCAAAAAATATAGGTAGTTTCCATCCACACAAGCATTTCAAGAAGACTTGCTCGAGCCAAACTAAATGAGCATCGTCGGGTGATCGGTAAGGCTGCAAGTTGAATTCAGCCCTGCAACCTCCTGCATAGAAGATAATATTAATTAGTGGGCTATGAGCTAAATTCCTAAATTTAAACAAACCTATCTACGATGCATTATGTACCAGCAATGTTACCTACGATTAACTGAATATGGAATATGTCTAATAAATTCACCTACAAAAGCAAGTTCGATAGGTGCAAACTTTGTGTTATGGAATTGTATCGCAGCACAGTTTTGTATGACACCCTCTTTAAATGAAATTTCAATGATTAAGCGCAAACATTAAAATTACTAACTTTGAACTTTGTCATTATCTGCAAAATGTTCCACACAAATCTTTCTATCGCGTTTGTAATCTTCTCTGATAAAAAAAAACGTCTATGATGTCCAGAATTGCTCTTTACAGCTTGCCTGTTATTCCAGCTTTCCAAGTAAGCAAAACTTCTTAGATATAGAGATTATTTTGTTTCGTTACAGGCGCAAAAAGGCAGGTACTATACGTAAAAAAGACGCCGAGTAGCAAGAGCGAGCGGAAAACGGACGCGAAAGGCGACGAGAAATATGTGCATTGGAGCGTATCATGAAATACAATGTTTTGCCTGTAGTCTTATGGAGTGACGTCAGAGTTGCCTATCATGTTGTTTAATGTCATTGTCTAAACTCGCCCGACAGGCCGTCAACTCACCAGTCGAGCAAACGCTCTGCGACGTGACGTCATCGATGCTCGAGGTGAAGACAACTCGACTACCGAGCAACGAGAGGCAGACAACTCACCAGTCGAGCAATCGCTCTGCGATATCGATGCTCGAGGAAAAGACATTGCTTTGCAAAACGCAGACTCAAGAGTTGCATAGCATTTACTTAGGTAGTGCCGACTGATATTAGTAGTGAGCCAACTCACCAATCAATTTAATCAATTTTATTTCGGTCGCTCTGGTATAAAACAAAACAACAACAAACGAAAAAAACACAAAAGTGACAAAACGCAGAGGACGGGCATAACTTAAACACAAAGTTAAAAACGTGAAAATACGCGCCCGTCTTCCAAAAACATTAAAATAACACAATAAAAAATAAAAATACACGCACTAAAAATGTCAAAAACGCATTTCTATAGACCCAAAACACCACCGTAGAAAATGCCAAAAGACGGACAATTCACCAGGCCTCTAGAGAGTGTAAATGGCTATTCAATTCAAGCATTTCAGTTGTAAAATGCTTGTCTGAAGAAGTCTGACCTCGGTCAGACGAAATGTTACAGAAATATATTTGTGTTCGTGTGCAGCAAGACTCTTGAATTGAATAGAATAGCAGAAGCAAGTGGGGTCTGGTATAGTTTAGTACCACATGTACTTCTAGTTGACCTGGCTCAACAATTTTCGCATATGTCAATCCTAACCCCCACCTGACTACGTCACCGAAAAATTACGTCATTTCGACGTCGCAGTGGCGTAATAAGACCCACCGAAGTGTGCGGTGGTCAAAACGCGCAGACGATCACCCGAAATCGAGCAAGCAATTTTTCTCGTCACAACGATCACTATCGGAGAGAGATCGCCGGCTTTAGCAAGTTCGTTATCGGCGGCGCAGATGTCATTTCGGGCGATCGTAATTATACTTTGGCAATCCCTATGACGTGATGGTGACGTAATTTTTGGATGGCATAGTCAGGTGGGGGTTAGGAATAGCATATGCAAAATTCGTTATGCTACTCCCACCGGAAGTACTTGTGGTACTAAACTATACTAGACCCAGCAAGTGTTTGTATATTTTTTTTGTAGTTGTAGACAGGTGTTGGACCAAGCTGTGATCAAACACCGCTGGTTCATTAAACAGTTATAGTACCGTAAATTTTTTATAGGCTTATATAACATTTTGTGAACGGTACCTAATTTATGCCCTACGGGATAATTTGACATGGATACCGGTACGTTAATAAGAGATTCTAAAATAATCAAATCTATAAATTCCTGTAAGTAATTTATATGAACGTCATGCTGTCATGAGCTGGAATTTCAAACTAATATTGCCTTTTATCAGCTAACTCTTATAAAGCGATAAAAATAGTTGTCTATTCGGTATTTGACTAACCCGTTGACCGCAGGCTGAGTGTGGGCTGGGGTAACTCTGGTGCCTGGGGGCAATCTAAGCAACTAAGTTGTTGTTTAGCGCTGTCGCGCTTGTTACGATCAGGGTAATTACTTATCGATTTTAATCGGTATGTATGTTGATAGGTATTTGTCTGTCTGTTAGATGCACGGGATATCTCAATCTCTGGAGATGGAATCTGCTCCAGATTTTACATGTGCATTCATCATATGTCGTACCAGAAGCCTATTGATTTTGGATGAATTATGTCGTATAAGCGTCGTATTAGCGAGTTATTAATTAATTAGTGGTGGGACACAAGGTGTCACTATGGAGTAAGATCGCTGTTTTTGGGGATCCCTTAACTTTCGATCGATAAGTCTTCGGTCTCTGACCGATATTCCTGTTAATATATTATGCCGAAATACTTTTTCAAATTAGAAGATGTTTTGGGCTAATTTCAAGTTTCCCGAACTTTACTGTAAAAAATGTTGTCTAACTAACTACAAGTCCCTACACAATTTTGACTTGAAACACGCATTGCGTCTGAGCAAAGGCAATTCATGTCATGTAACATCTATGATTTTACGGGTTCATTTCGAGCAGACGCAAGTCTATTTAAACGAGAGAGATTTCCACACGAGAAAACCGCTCGTCTTTAATTGATATTTAGAAACCCGAAATGCAAAAATCGACGCATGGCGCTGGAGAGGCGGAAACCGAATCCTGTTATCGGATCCTGTTGCATTCGAATACTTTTGGATTCAAATCCTCCGGATTCGGTATTCTATATTGCCCATCCCTAGTTAGTTCAGTAGGTATTTGTTTTCGGAAACATGGACTTGCAACTTGATAGTCAGATAGTGGAAGAAGCAGTAACTGACCAGTGGTTACGTGAACCACCCTAACAATTAATTCTGTTCAACTACTTTGTGCTTTCAGGCTTTGAACTAGATTAAAAACATAATACTGTGATACCTTTTCGCATGTCGTATCTGAATGGAGGAGTTAGACTTACATAAATTTGAAGAAGAAATTAACAGTGGCAGCGAAAGCATCTATGATTCTTTAAGTGATGATGAAGATTCTCTTTATGATGACTTTTTTGGGCAGGAAGAGGAAGATTCAACTTCTAATACAATTACCTCTGTGTCTACTACCCCAGTCTCCATAGGACGAGAAACCAATTTTGGGTCAGAATCATTTGCCCAGCCTGTATCTAAATCGTCATCAGACACTGATCAATCTGTTTTGTCTGCATCATATGCATCTAGTGACCCAAAATTGAGCCAATCGATTTCTCCTCAGTCACTACGCAATATTGCCCCCAACCAGCATTCTTCTGACTCGCCAACAACATCTTTGATTAAAACGAGGGGGCGACGTGTAGGAAGGCCACTGAAAAGATCATGGTGCCGGGGTCGTCCCCGGATTTTTAGGAGTCCTGAATATCGATCAGGGCCAAGTTCACCCAGTCCTGTACCAATGACAATGTCACCAGCCATAACCCCAACATCTTCAGTTTCAAGTCCATCAACAGTCCTGCCATCCACCCCAAGACAACTATTCACAGTTTGGGATGAAAATGAATCAGCAAATCCTCCACAAGCCATTCCATTCTCAGGTCAGCCTCGCCATCACCTGGAAGAACCAATTTCTCCATTATCTGTTCTGTCACAGTTTTTGAACAATAATTTCTGGGAGAACATTACATTTCAAACCAATTTGTATGCGAAGCAGGAGAAAGAAAGGATTGGAAATAATTCATCCCAACGCAGTTACATTAATGAATGGAAGCCAGTAACCGCGAATGAAATAAAGGTATTCATTGGCATCATATTGGCCATGGGGCTGGTAAAGAAGCCACATCTCAAGAACTATTGGTCAAAAAGGCCAATATATGCCTCAAGTTTTTATTCAGGCCTGATGCCGAGGGATCGTTTTTTGTCCATATCGACATTTCTGCATCTGAATGACAATACACATTGGGTGCCATACGGCCAAGTTGGCCATAACCCTCTTCACAAAATTCAACCATTTCTCAACCTCTTGAAAGAAAAATTTGAAACTTTATACTATCCTGAAAAGGCCCTCAGTCTAGATGAAGGATTGTGTCCTTTTAAAGGACGAGTGAGATTTCGATCGTATATGAAGAGGAAGCCGAAGAAGTGGGGAATAAAAATATATGAGCTCTGCGAGTCTCGATCTGGCTATTGTGTGAGCTTCAAAATTGCGACTGGTAAAGTCAGTGACCAAGAAGACAACTCCACACATGGGGTTGTGATGAACCTTATGCAAAATTATCTTGGGGTTGGACATGAGGTCTACACCGACCGCTATTACACCTCACCCAAACTGTTTGCTGAATTATATAAGGAGAAAACCATTGGGGTTGGCACATGCAGGATTGATAGACGTGGGCTCCCACGAACCACAATTCAGCAACGACTAGGTGAAGGGCAGATTGTGTCTGCCAGGAAAGGCCCTTTGCTAGCATTAAAATGGAGAGACAAACGGGATGTGCTTATGCTATCTACCAAGCATATTAACGACACTAAATCTGTTCAAGTTCGTGGGCCAGGTGGATGCAGAGCAAAGATCAAGCCAGTTGTTGTTCAAGACTACAATGACAATATGGCAGGTGTTGACAAGTCTGATCAAATGTTGTCATATTATAGTTTTGAGAGAAAGACTAAGAGATGGTGGAAAAAACTGTTTTTCCGCCTTTTTAATCTAACTATTGTGAATTCTCATAAACTTTACAGTATGGCAGCTCAGACAAACCATGATCTGAAGAGGTTGAATTTGCTTGAATATATCGAGGAATTGGTATACAAGCTCACTTGTGAAGCACGATCATGTACTGAAAGCCAAAGCCATCGAGTGGCATCACATATTAGACTGTCTGGACGACACTTTCCGAAATTGAATGTCGCTTCTGGTGGAAGGCAACATGTGCAAAGAAGTTGTCATGTATGTAGCTTGAAAAGTCGCTTGAAGCGAAAAAAGCAGGAAACTGGTTCCAGAGCAAGAAATTGGACCCAGTACCATTGTCCTATTTGCAATGTATTCTTGCATGTCGATCCATGCTTCGAAGCATACCACACAATGGATGATTATGGCATATAATGATTGCCCCTCCTATTTTTACCATAAATATCACAATCATATATGAGTAGTCTGGTGTGTTCAGTCAAAGCCGTGATATGACAAAAGCCACTTGTAAAGACTGCTGAACTAAAACAAACAATAGCTTGAATGAAGCCATACATAGATTTTCTAGGGTTATTTTCTACAGAGATATATATAACAGAATACCCACCTACAATATTTTGTTTTCCTATGAAATTTCTGGGTCAAAATTCTGTATGACCTGCTGGGAACAGAGTATGTTAATTTTGGCCACTGACATGAAAAGGGTTTATGGCTGCTAGTTTTTTGTGGGATGATGAGTTTCATGTCATTTATTCAATGTGACTCCTATTCATCCATTTCACTATTGTTTGTGAAATCTGTTATGATTTGATACCCCACTTGTGACTATGTACATCCTCAAACTGTGACTCTACTTTGATTTTTTTTAAAACTGGGACGGACCGGGCCAGGTTCGTGAGTTTGCATTTGCAAATAATTCATTCAGAGAAGTTATTGAGATTCATAATGCACTCAGTATAATGTTTTGCTTCCTAACAGTTTTAATATTTTATTTTCATATGATATACGTGTTGCAATATGTGTGTTTGCATGGTCTCGCATATTAATGATATCAGAATTTTTTGTACTTCAGTATTTTTTGCATCACTTTGAGCTTTCCCTGTTTTTAAATACCGTGTGTAATAAAGTGAGATGTGGAATTTTGCCTTTGCAAAGGAATACAGCGTGAAAGTATCTTAATGTCTTATCCAATTGTATCATTCTCTGCTATTTTTTTTTTATACAAATTCGCTGAGACGATTAGGATGTTTCAGAGAACTAATTTATTTGTTTGAAAATTTTAAGTTCTTTGGATTTTCTGGAGCGTGCAAAATTCTAATTATACAGGCATTTATTTAGTAAACGCTAGTACACTTCACTTTAGCACAGCCTTACTTGAAAAGTGTAGACTTTAGGACATGGTCGTCCAACCTTTTTGGTAGAAGGGCCACATGTGCGGATTTTTTTCTAGTTTTGCTACACTGACTATAGGTTAATGAAAAAACAAACAATACCCGCACACCAAACTTCCACAATTATTATACCAATAAAACTGTTGTTTCCCAACCATTGATGGGGCGCCATCAGTAGTTATTTCCGAAAGTTTCACCAAAGCCAAGACGCTTGATCTTTTTCATCACAGCCCCCAACAGACCAATGTCTCTAGTCGTACCTTTAATATGGACAATGGCCCCGCAAGAAGATCGCCAACTGAGCAGTAACCTTGATGCCAGTGCTTTCATCATGCACCAAGGAATACAATGACAATTTTCCCGTCTTTGCAATTATGGTTTCCACTATAGAGTTCTCAAGCTCTTCGACATGATGAGTTATTGTCTGTCATGGGATTTATTATTATCCACTTATGTATTATTTTTCTATAAATCCGAACACGCATGACAAAAATATATTGTGTATTTGAACGATACGTAGGTGGCCGACGGAATTTAGCTGAAAATCTGTTTTAATAACATGAATGCATTCGTGGAATATAATTAACGATAACCTAACGTTGAAGTAGAACATCGAAAAGTAACTAACAAAATCAAATAAATTAAAAACAATCCAAAAAATTTTACGAAATGGAATTGGAATATACATTTCTTTGCTTATCTAATTTTCGTTGCGCGAGCAGCGCTCTGCTAGCATATTGGTGGAATATATTTTTTTGGGCTGCTCTCCTAGCATAAATTCGCATTCTCAACAGAATGTATCCATCTATAATTTTTTCAAATCAAATTATGACAACTGAAAAACAATGGTTGCCTCAAGCATCCCATCTTTTGTTTAATGATGCTTTTGGATTAAGTCGCAAGTTTTTGTATGAATTCGAAAAATAATAGATTCGAATTGTTGAGAATATTTTAGCAGAGACTGTGATGTTATCTGATTTGAAAAACGTTAAAAGGACTTCGGGACAATTCTTTATATTTATCGAAAATTCTTGCCTACAAAATGATTTTTCACACGTTTCACTTTTTTTTATATATATATATATATATATTCCAGTTCTTGGAAAACAGACCATCCTAATGCAGATTCCACAAGTGCGTCCACTTCATTAATTTCGATGTTGGTTTGTGGCTCATCACCAGGATATGAGGCATTGCTATGTTCTTTAATAAACGTTATCAAGTTGTCTGAGTCGTCGGTGTCAATATCAACTTAATTTCATTTCGAAATTGAGCTGCTTTCGGATGCGAATTTTCCTTCGCACCTGTGATGTTGAAAACATTTTCATTCAGAGATCACTATACGACTACATAAATGCAATTACGATATATAAAAAGAGTCAAAAAAAATAACCTGAGAGAATAAATAAATTCTACACGGCATCTTGTGTCAGCTTCCCATGTGGTAAAAAATTTATTTCTCCACCTAGTACAATGTCAGCATGAAGCTATCGACGTTGTTGTCAGCTCCATACCGGATTGCATTGGCTTCCATGCGTTTCCTGGAAATGTTAAATTTTGCACGACGTCGACCACCTAGAATATTTGGTGCCACTTTAATATGCGATTTTACTTAATGATGTGTCACTTACAACAAACCTCATTAAGATGATCGATATTTACGCGAGAGTTAGGAAACAGAGCATTATCAATGGACCTTGCGTTTACAATATCGAACCATTTGTTGAAAAATGATGTCAACAAAGCATCCATTGGCAATACGCCACTCTCCATAAGCGTTTTTATTGCGCGTGCTGTACTATGACTGATAACATGTGAAAAAATGGAGTTTGGCGTGAAATTCTAACTCATTGGTCCAACTCTAGGAAAAAAATGATTTAGCATCATCTTATTTCAGTAAAAAATGTGAAATTACAACTTTCCTACAGTTACTCTAATATTTTAAAATGGGATGGAAATAAACTGAAAGACAAAAAGACCTGGGCCGCTAGTCAGACCAACTCTCATCAAAACTAATATTTTAAAATAGGATGGAAATAAATCGAAAGACGAAAAGACCTGGGCCGCTAGCTAGACCAACTCTCATTTTTTGATATTTTGAAGGTTATATATGCTTCTCCGTGAGCCTTGGGGCAAGTTTCAACTCTTTTTCTCTCTGCTTGTCTGCCACTTTCTCAACGTAACAGAATCGAACCTGTGGTTAGATGAATTTTAGGTTCAGCCTATAGGTATAATACACTCATCTGCACATGTTTATCAAGCATATCTCTGATACTTACCATTTTTGTCGGGAGATTATATTTTGTAACAACAGATGCTGGCAATTCAATGTCATGATTAATAAAATATTTAAATTTTTTATAAGCTGCGGTACGTCGGCAATAAAATAAAGTTTCCGATGTTCAAAAGCAGGGTGAAGCACAGAGCAATTCACTTCGAATCTAAAATAGAGTGACCAATTATTAATGAGAATTCAGTATGGTGTAAAATGTAGATTGTAACGGATAGGCTTCTGCGTGATATATGTATATGCGGATATCACATCCAAACCTGTTAAAAACTACTCCCGCACTTTTCCACGTTGCTTGATCCCATGTCGCTGATAATGGAAACCACCTTGAATCCACGATATGATAGACTCAATATAATATATACGCTTTGGACAGTACCGGTATAGTCTGAAACGCGATACCATGCCAAAGCCATTATTAGATCACAAATAACTACGACCGTGCTTCATTTAGTCTCTATAACGTTATTGTCATAGTTACCTTGTCTGTTAGTGCTGGGGTCGTTTCAAATGTTTTTATTACCGAACTTTTACAATATATAATGTTGGATTTCTTTTACAAATGCATGAATTGGTTGGTATTTTTTTCCCACGGCTCACTCCCAAACGGAAAGATCCTTACCACTGCGCCGGATAGGTCGATTTGCAAAACACCAATAAGTAGATATTCAGCCCAGATTTTTCTTAAAAAAACTGCAAAAATTGCATTGTCAACACATCTAAAATAAAAGTGATATAGAGCTTACATGTAAGCGCGCAACAGAAGGTTGGATTTAGATTAAAAATATATTGATAATTGTAGTACAAACCTAAAGTTCATTTTTCAAGTAAAATATGGATATGTTAGCAATACAAAAATTCAATATATTGAACCAAAAATCCTTGCATGAAAATTAAGTACATGCGGTGCTACAGCAGGAAAGCAGAATGAGAGTCCGCACTTCTCCATGCTGTTTGGCCACTATGTCAGGTTAAAAACATTTTAATGCTGCACTCTACGTTCGATGAAACTTGGCAGGAATATAACACAGTCGGATTTTGCAAGCGGAGTGCATAATTTTTCTTTTTCAGCTACGTGTGTTTGTCGAGCAAAGACGACATCTTCAGTTTGCAGTGTAACATTTTTAAACATTCATTTAGTGGCATATTTTTTATTTGTTCTCTCTGTGTGTATACCGGTACTGTTTTAACAATGTTGGATTGTTGGCCACGTCAATGCATCAATTAGGCTACAGACCTGCTCGCGTGTGATTAGTGTTTTTCCTAATAATTGCTTTTATGAGTGTCCGCACACCGAATTTGCCGCCATGGTTTTGCGTTTGTTTGTATATTAAACCACTTATCACCTTTTCCGCAATGCCAGAATGCCCAATCTAGCAATCAGTGTAGTTTTTCATGGCTTGGTTTTTCTTAAAGCTTTCATGGCTTCATGAGTATGACTATCGTCGCAAATTTATTACATTCCACTCCCCACATTATCTTTGCATGAGGTTGTAGGTATTGGTCATTATCAACGTAATTGTTGAAAGAGAGTACAACAGCCCGAAAGTTTATTACTATCGTGTATTTTGTTTGTTAAGTTTAGCCCAAGCCTCATTTAATTGGGCTTGTGTTTTTGTGTGCGTGCTGGTGGGCAGGCACATGAGATACTTCATGTTTTAAACTTTTTTGTAGGTTTTGCTTGCCCTCCAGAATTCTCCATTTTTAATTTAGGTTTGTTATGGAGTTTTCGAAATAAACTATCTATCTATCTATAATCCGACGATATCTTCTGCATTCTTCGGCAAACAACATTAATATCGCTAAATCGCGTCTCATAGCCTTACCGTTACAGGTATACCTTTTATTCATATAACAAGATGTTAATCAGCAGCTCCTCTTCTTCGACGAAAAATTTCTAATCAAATCTAGAGCAACATGTTTTTGGAAATCAAAATGGGACATTGGTTTACCCTCACCGGCATGAAACATATCAAATACATTATTTATGCATCTACAAGGGCAGCATCATTTAAAGCAGTGGTTCTCAAACTTTCTGTACTCTAAAAACAATTTATACATCACCGTGCTGCATTTATGCAGCACCGTGAGACTAATGAGGTCTTCCAAACGAGTGTTCATATCCTCCACTAGGTTGTGTATATTAGCATAGTATTTAAGTCTTTCATCTTCTGTTGCATTATTCCCACAAAGGTTTGGAAATTGAGACAAAATATTCCGCTCCATATCCCGTTGTACAAGGAAACCGTTGATATAAATGACGTTAAACACTTTTGCATCTGTAAGCGTTATCATTTTGACGCAATTAAGCCATATTCCTGTTGCTCATCAGATTGTCAAATAGAGATCGAATGGGGCCTGCTTTGCCTTTTCATCATTCGAAAAGATAGAACCACACTCAATGCACATTGAACGAATAGCATCGCGTGGAGCTGTTGTAAACCAAACTTTGAATAAGTGCCGTTGTATTGACGCAGTTTCGCTTTCTTAGTCTTCTGGATTTTTGCTATTTTTTTGATGGCGGAGACATATTTTCATAAATTCTAAACTCAGAAATCTAATTGATGATTACTATAGTATATCTAAATTAAATTTTTGCTTTCTGAGTTTTAGTGTCTGATGGTGCTCCAATTACGCTAGCTTTTATTTAAAAGCGCAGGTATTGGCAGTTTTTCATTCTTTTGCACTAATAGAAGAGAAATGAGCTTGCATTTTGTGTAACAGTATGTGTCAGTCTATGATACATTGCCCCCCTTCGGCTTTTCGCCCACTTTCGTACAAGTGATTTTATTTTGAACAATCTTTCTCCTCCACTTTACAGTTTCAATGTCATCAGGATTGTGGGCAGTTGAAAGCAAACTCACAGTACAAATATCCTGCCACAAAATAGCAGATATATTCATTTTGTCCTACTCGCGATAAGTGTTCATCCCTCTTTAATTTTTGTTTTTTTTCTGAACTTTCCCGGTAAAGTTTATCTGTTCATGCTCACAGTACCAACGGAAAAAAATCATTTCATACAATTGCCACAAAAGCTTGTTGTATAAAGTAAAAAAAGTACTACAAGAAGGGGAGAACCAAATTCATCCACTTTGATGCCTCCGCACAGCGTTGTTATAGCTCTTGCTCCCACAGGATACTTTGGAGATA